GGACAATTTCTGACAGTTTATGGACATTCTCTATTGGTCCATGGATGTTTTCTGTCAGTCTATAGACATTTTCTGTCAGTCCATGGACGTTTTCTGTTGGTCCATGGACGTTTCTGTCAGTCCATGGATGTTTTCTGTCACATCCTGAAAAAATCATTTAGCTAATCATGATAAATCCATCTTCCAGAATTATTTCAAGTAATTCAAAAAAGGATGACAATGCAAATGGAATACTTTTAATTTGTTCTAAAAAAGGTAATCTCTAGATAAATGTTGAATTTTTTGAATATTAACTTCAAATATTCCATTGGATATTATAGCAGAATATTTTTCTAGTCAAATATCAGAGAATAGATATCAACTATATTTCAATATAGATTTTAAATACTACAAAGTTTATTCTTATCCAGAGGACAGAAAGGAAATATGTAGGAAAAGTAGCTTTATTCTTCAATATCCAATGGCTGCAGCCAATATTTCAAGACAAATGAAACTATTTCTAAATTCAAGTAAATCAATAATGACTGATGAAATATCTCAGAATGTTCATTATGTTTATTGTTCATATATGGATTTTGAAGGTTTTTCAAAAAACAATATCGGGACATGTTTTACTTTTGTGTCTTTTTCAAAGATTTTCAAGTATTAGAATACAGTGAAGCAAAAAATTGGGAAAAATATTTTTTATCATATGTCTCAACTGAAACAATGTCATATTTTATCAAATCCAAAACATATGGCTTATTATTAACAGTCTACAATGGAAAAGAGAGTTCATCCATTTTCTACTGCCAAGTATTTTGTGGCCTGATGTCAATGTCACTGAAAGAGAATAGTTGCTTTGATAAAACAGATGATTTAGAGGTCTCAAAAGGCTATGTTTTTTTAAAACAATCTTCCAAAGTATATTTGTAAATTGTTTAATAGAAATGAATGCCATATTTAACAAAATGTCAAAATATTGAAGACATCAATCAGAAATGTATGATATTTTCTCCAAAAGTTGAAATTAAATTCACTCTTGTTTCACTAAAATGTAATAAAGTTAAGGATAATGCCTGTAATTTTCTCTATAGCATTTTGAATTTTCAAAATTTCAAGTCACAATCAAATATTCTGTGGCCTTTAGATTATATAACAGCCCTGACTGTACACATACATTCGTCAGCTCTATTCTACTATAGATAAGTAGTATTAAACTTGTATTGTCGAGTACTGATAACACTGATAGATAAGCAGGATTGACCTAGATTTGCATAGTGTGGTACATACACAAGGTGCTGCATTCATTCTATTAAATCATATATAAAAATAGTTATTTCCATCATAAACTTGAATATTTCAATGAATGAATTTATAAATTTATCAACTTTAATTGAAATTAATTTAATTGAATGACAAATATGCTTTTGTCATCAATTTTAGATTTTATTCATTAATTAGTAGTATTGTATACACAATCCTACTATACATAACATATATATTCATCAGATATCTTCCCTTATAACAACATGACCATATTTAGAACTTTTCTTTGTCTTAAAAATGTTACTTTTGTTTTTGTGAACATTGAAATTGGTGAACTATCAACTCTTAAAAGAGTATATAAACCCTTAGAAATTAACAGTTGATAGTTCAGTTCTCTAACTGATAGCTAGTTGTTTAAACTTGCTTATTTAGAACTAGAAACTCGTTTTTACTCAATACATATTCTTTGCACGAAATACTCGTATTTTGTTGATTAATTTCTACCGAAGTTACATTTATCAAACTACTTGTGGACGAACTTGAAAGGTTCTATTTGTTTGAGTACTTTGGTAAATTGGTAAATGATTGGAAAGGACCAAATCAGTGGTGATGAACCAGAAATTCCTACAATTACTATACAACAAAGTACAACATTAATTTTTTATTTTCAGTTTGATGAAAGAGCGATATTACAAAGAAAAAAGGATAGGTATTAGAAAATTAATAATAAATTTAAAAATTGGAGTCAATCATGTGATAATAGACTTTTTATAATTAACCTTCTCACTTACATTCCAATCAAACAAGGCTATTGTTATTGTTGAATGTTCAATTTAGATGAGATTCGACAATGTCTTATCAGAATAGATTTGAATAACAAAAATGTTCTTGCTTCTTTGATTTTGTATTGTAGATACAATTGTGTCAGTTTTTGCATATTTCTCTCCACATTTTCAACTAAAAGTAAAAACACGAAGGCAATGTCAATGTACACTTATGAACTATATTTTGTAGATAGAATATAAATCATACTTACTATATATCATGTTGTGATGGTGTTGCCTCAAGAGTAGATGGTTACTCAACCACTTATCTTGAAATTTGTCTTATTTTTAAAAAAAATCCAAATTCTAAAACATCTTCATCAATTTCCATGTAAAATAGGGGAGGCAGAGACAGAGGAAATATAGTTTCTTGAAAAGATTGATTTTGAAATTGTTACATCTAAAATACAATCTTTTTACAAATAAACAACCGTTTAATAGATCTTAAAGCTGAAAAAGCTTCACCATCAGTTAATTTACAAGTTAATTTATGATTTCAAGCCATCATGTATATTCTCAAATTCTTCAGCATGAAAATCATTTTCTTCTAAATTAATACTTTGTAATGATGTAAATTCGTGTAATAAGTCACCTATTTCACTAATGTCAAGGTTACACATACAGTTTATCAATTTGCATTTTAATTGGGTAATGCATGATGGATTCAAAACAATTTGTAATGGATTAATATCTTCTGAACATACCCTGGAAAAACTTGATGTTTCTTATTGTCATTTAGATGAAGATCAAGCAGAACATTTAGGAATTGCAATTAATCAATGCTCACATTTAGTTCATTTCAATTTAGGTTATAATGGCATGATGGGTAATGGACTTAAAATGATTTGTTATGGATTGAAATCTTCTGCTCATACACTACAACATCTTGATCTCACATATTGCAGGTTAACTGAGCAAGAAGAACATTTGGCAGTTATGATAAATGAATGTTCATGCTTAACTTTTATAAATTTGTCTTGTATTACATTTAGAAATTATGGATTTGAAATGATTTGTTCAGGATTAAAGTCTCCTGCAAATACACCTAAACGAATTGATCTTATAAATTGTTATCCAAATGAATATCAAGCAGAGCGTTTAAGAATTGTCGTAAATGAATGTTCAAATTCAGTCTATATCTTTGAAAATGTAAAATATGGATAATTGATTGTTCCATCTTCTTGCACAAGGTGCAAATTGACAATGATAAATGATCTATTTAAAAGCGATTTGAAGCTTTTGTTCAACTTTTCTCCAGCAGAAAACCCAACTCAGTCAATTGTAAAATAAGTAAATAAGCATTTAACTTTTTTGCTAATCTTCATTTTCTCAATCTACAACAGATTTTTAGTCAATTTTAGTCAATTTTTTCAAATTTTCTAATGTATACTTGGAGGGGGGATCTCATTTAAAGTAATCACAAGAATTGGGTTAGGGTAAAAGCATGAATTTGCGGACGTTTTCCATAACACCCAAAAATGAATAAGAACATTTATTAATATATTATGGTTGTTGGCAAATATCTTATCTCTATACTATTATTGGTCTCAGTAAGTAATCTTTTCTTTTGGCATTGTAGAAAATATTTGTAAATATATATTTTGGAATTTTAAACTTTCTTTTACCAGAATTTAGCTGGTAAGAAAGGAAGGAAAATGATTGATATCATGTTTAACTCTCTTTTAATTTTCTGGTTTCAAATATTAAATTTAATCCAATAGTTTATTTTGAAAAAATTGATGTTTCTTATTGTGATTTATATGAATATCAGGGAGAACATTTCAGAACTGCACTAATTGAATGTTCATTTTCTTTTATGAAAATATACAATATGCTTAAATGGATTTGAAATGATTTGTAATGGATTAATGGCTTATTTTTATGTATAAAATAATAAATAGATGTGAAAAAAATGATTAAATTATATGAATGATGAGAGGATACTCATTAAGGGAAAATGTCAAGCTTTGTTCAATAATGAATATGTATCAATTTATGAGAACTTATTGTGAAAAATCAGAATTATGTTCAAAATGCAAGAAACTTTTGATTGAACAATGTTCAGAATTGTTAAACTTATTCCCTTTAAAGAATAGAAAACCCTATCCACGTTGGATTTCTGAAAGTTGAGCATATATTGATGGAGGGTTAGTTATTTTAATTGTTTTTTTTTCCTAATACATATTAAAAGACTTTATTTGTAATGGTTTTATAACATGGCATGACAAACATTTCATAGTCTCTAAATTGTCAAATTTCATTAATCAATAAATAAGTAATATTGCCATGGTATTTAACTGCTGATTCCCATTTGTCATATGTGCCAGGAAAAGTTACTTGAATCGTTTGACATTTTTTGCAGTTCTTCTTTGTCCATATAACCTTCTGTTTATCTCTATATTATCTATAAGATGAATTGAAAATGAAAAACCCTAAAACAGACAAAGGACAAAAGGACAGAAAGTAAATTTTTAAGGGAAAATTTTAAATTCAAAATCTAGGGGTTTGTTTGAATATAACTGAATAATTTATCTATTTTTCCCCTAAATAGAAAGACTCAGAGTCAATGAAAAGATATCTTTACTCAGTTTACAACAAGTACAAGAAGTTAGTGTTAGTACAGCAATATTTCTCTTAAGGCTTAATCTTAGTATGAAAATTTATAAAAAGGTGTTTGAAGAAAAAATTTCTAAATAATCATTTAGTGTTGCAGATCAAAAGGCATTTTTTGGAACTAAAGAACTTTCATTGGAACAGTATTCGTAGTTGGAAAAGTGGGATGAACATTCAATAGTTCTATTTGTGTGAATTAGCATAAAATCTTCTATAAAACATTGAATATCTTACAATAATATCTCCATCCTTATCATTTATTGGTAACCAGTGATGATAGATAGATCTTCTATAAAAAACTTGAGCTCTAATAGTTTAAAATGAAGAAGTCAATTGGGGAGATGTGGTAAAGGAAGTCAATAAAACCAATTTTTCAAAATCAACTTGTAAATAGCATTCAACAGTTTTAGCACACCTGACGCCACTCTGTGGAGTATTAACGTAACCAAGACGATAGTGCTTATCTATGTCAGGGTAAGCGAGATTATCATAGTGTACAATAACATTAAAATCTTGTTCTTGTTCATAATTTCCTTCTGGAAACAGTTTATAGCTCTTTCTATCAAAGCAAAAATACTCATAATAATGATAATTTGATTGGATAAATTTGCTATCATCATATTTCACCATTGAACTATTTGAATTGTAAATGATACATTCTGTTCTATACTTTTCTCTTTAAGCAGATATTAAGATATGAATATGATAATTAATATATTCAAACAGTGAAATTTATAATTTACTAACTTGTGTAGCCAACTAACTGATTTGCACATCTGAGGAGAGAGACAATAATTCAAGCACATTCCTACACTGGATAAATCGATAACTTCCATTTTAAATTGATCATGTAATTTATGTGATGGTCTTAGGGACCATACAGGTTGACAATGTTCTTCCTCGTTGTAATCATTTAAATCATCTGGCACTGTTGTAAAAAAGAATAAATATTATATTTATTTACTTTTCCTTCAATATAGAGAATTTGATTGTTTATAAAAAAAAAAATATAACCAGTATCCCTTAATAAGAAAATGGACATTGTCAACACAAAATCCAAATGAAATTATATAAAAACCATCTGTTTCAAAATATGAGCATGTTCAGTTCTGTTTGAATTATTCATAACATGAAAATTATTGTTATTTTTCAATTCAAAAAATATTCAACATTTCTCTGAATTTTTAATTGAAAATCTACAGCTATTTTACTTTTTCTACACAATATCTCTGTTTTGTTTTCAAGTGAAAAAATTTAAAACAATTGATTGTTTTCATGTAAAAATTAATGAATAAGTTGATTTTGTAATTCTCATTGCAAGGATAACTGATGAACAAGAGATAGGTATTTACAAGTAATTTTAAAAAATTAAATAATTGTACTACATGATGAATTTGTTTTGAAGCATTTTAAATTCATTTCTATGGATGAAAAACATCGAGATTTCACGCTGAAAAACAATGATAAAAATAGTTTTGTAATCTTATTCATTTATAGAAATTACAGTTGACAACATGGTGATCCGCCATCTCTCAGCTCAATTGTATGATTTTTTATATTAGAGTCGATATATTCTATATGAGAAAAATTTGAGTAAGTTATGGATAATTCTTTGGAAAACTTAGATTTTTTATGTTGAAATATATTCTATTATATATTTGTCCATTAATGATTCCACGAATTGAGTATTTTATTAAAATATCATTTTCTTCAATCATTTTAAAGTCTAAACAATCAAAAATATTTATGTTACATTAGCTTGAATAATCAAATATCATTAGCATTATAATGGAATCATTATATTTTCCAAAATATGGATGACAAACCAAAAAATCGAAACATAAAAAACTATGAAAGAGTGATGAAAATTTTTTCTACAACTAATAAGTAAACATGAACCTTGAAGTCGTTTCATTGTAAGATAATATTGCATGAATTTCAGCCAAGTATCTCATCTAAATCTACTTAGATGCATTTAATATTATAGATAATGTTGGAAATGCCCTATGGTATTTTAGACAATATCTATAGTATAGTACTATCACAAAACTGCTGTTTGTTTTATACAAAGTTATTTGTAATAAAGTGGAAGACATCTTATGAATAAAGCGCTAAAAGTCTTTGAGATGCAGAATATTTTAACTAAATAAGTTATATTATATGCTGCATAATGTATATGTGCGGCGAAGACAGAAGAAGCAGTATCTTGAGACAATTCTTTTTGTCAGGTGAAAAATTAACGCGACAGTAAATATTTAACTTTACCTTAACCAGGCTAAGACTAGATTTTCCAGTCTTATGGAATGTAATAGTTTAGCAATTAATAGATTAAAAGTTCAAATGTAAGATTACACTTTAAGTCATTTTGTACTTTGTTGTATTGTAATTGTAGGAATTTCTGGTTCGTCACAACTGTAATTGTCCTTTCCAATCATTTACCAACTTGCCAAAGTACTCAAACAAATAGAACCTTTAAAGTTTGTCCACAAATAGTCTAACAAAGTCAATTTCGGTAGAAATTAGTTAACAAAACACCAGTATTTCGTCCAAAGAATACGTATTGAGTAAAATGAGCTTCTAGTTCTAAACAAGCTAGTTTAAACAACTAGCTGACGGTTAGAAAACTGAACTATCAACTGTTAATTTCGTAGGGTTTATATACTCTTTTAAGGGTTGATAGTTCACAAATTTCAATGTTCACAAAAACAAAAGTAACATTTGAAGACAAAGAAAAGTTCTAAATATGGTCATGTTTTTATTGTTTTCCTCTTCTAAATAATAGTTGAATTTCGAAGGTTGGAGAGTTGCATAAGATGTAACAATTTTAGTAGGACAAGTCCAACAATCAAGAAAACATGTAGATTGTATATTTGACCATTTTTATATTCTACCTTAATAATGATATTGAATTGATTGAGTTAGTAAATTTAGCATCAGCATATAAGGAGGAAGTATATCTGATTAATGCATGTTAAAAAGAACAGTATTGTGTATACAATACTGTTGAATAGTGAATATAATCTAAACTTAGAATTTAAGCATAATTGATAATTAATTGAACTAGTTTTAGTTCGAAATCATAAATGTATGGATTAATAAATTGTAATATTAATGCTAGGTTGCAAATAGCAAATATTCTTTATATAATTTAATAGGTTTTATTGCTGCATAATGTGTATGCACTGCCCTATGCGAAACTAGGTCACTACTGCTTATCTTTATCAGTGCTATCTGCATAGTACAATACTGGTTCAATACTACTTCTCTATTGTAGAATATAGCTGACGAATGTATGTGTACAATTACAATATTTAGCTTGAAATAAGTTGCCGCGCCTTGCACAGGCACCGCCCTACGCGAAAGTAAGTCAAGCCTGCTTATCTCTATCTGTACTATCAGCACAGTACAATACTAGTTTAATACTACTTATTTATTGTAAAATAGAGCTGACGAATGTATTGTACCTATGTGTACAATGACAAAATTGTTACAACTGATCTAATACCAGATGCTGATAAGACTGACTTGTTGTGTAGAAACACCTTTTGGCAAAGTGGCCTCAGTTCATGAATTATTTAAAAATCCATTTTTACAAAATAAAAGTCTTTCCAAAGTTCCATCATTCCAATTTCTAAGAAATAGAAATCTTTCTAAATTTCCTTCTAAATATCAATATATCATAATTTTTAAGTGTATAATAAGTATCCTAATATTCATATTTTTGAAAATTCTATATGACAATTTCAAACCATCACAAATGTTTATAAATCCTTTATACATGTCATCATTTTATTTCAAGTTGTCCACAAATTACTAACCTTTAAAATTTCAAATTCTTTAATGAAACACAAAGGGAGACTACATCTGCCAGAGATTTTGTTTGTTCTTTATTCAAATTACACTGTTTCACAGAGATAGACTTCAAAGTGTAGAAGGATGTTTTCAATCCATTGCAAATTGTTTTAAATCCATCTCCTATATTCCTATTATCAGTTAAATCAACATTTTCCAATAATGAACAAACATGAAATGTTTTTCCAAGACAATCTCCTTGAATATCATTTAAATTGCACAACCCAATATTAATTGTTTTTAAACTCTTTGAACATGACTTTAATCCATTACAAATCGTTTTAAATCCATTTCCCATATTTCTATTCTCATATAAATTAAGATTTTCTAATAATGGACAATGTTGAATTGCCTCTGCAAGACAATTTGTTTGCTCCTCACCCAAATTGCATAAGCTTACATTTATTGTTTTTAAACAGTTGGAAGATGTTTTCAGTCCATTGCAAATTGAATTAAACCCAATTTCCATTGTGCTATTGAAATTTATATCTATTTTTTCAAGACAGTGGCATTGTTGGATTGATTCTCCTAGATATTTCGCTTGAGTTCTATTCAGATTGCATGAATTTAGATCAATTGACTTTAAGGTTTTAGAAGAGGAGATAAGACCATTACAAATTACTTTAAATCCATTGTTATCCATACAAGGATTACAAGATAAATTCACATATTCTAAGGAGAAACACTGTCCCAGCATTTCTCCCAGATAGATGGCTTGTTGGTTATTCAAATCACACTGATTCATGTTAATTATTCTCAAAGATTTATAAGATGATTTGATTCCATTACATATCATTCTGAATCCATTATCACCCATCTTCTTATTTTGAGATAAATTAACACTTTCCAAGACAGAACAATATTGAAATGTTTTGCCTAAATATTCAGATTGTTGGGAATTTAAAGAATTACAACTCAGATCAATTTTTCTTAAAGCTTTGGAAGATGACTTTAACCCATTACATATTATATTAAATCCATTACCAATATTAGTACTCAAACTTAAATGAACATGTTCCAATGATGAACACAATTTGAATGTTTCTCCTAGAAATTGTATCTGTCCATGATTAAAATTATTCAAAGTTATGCTGAGCCTCTTTAAAGAAGTAGAAGATGATTTTAATCCATTGCAGAAAATTTTAAATCCTTTTTCCAGTTCACCATTTCCAAAAAGTATTATTGATTCTAATGAATTACAGTGCTGTAATGTTTTTCCTAGATATTTCATATGCTTATTATTTAGTGTGCAACAACTTAAATCAATTGTTTTTAATGCCTTCACAGATGATTTCAGTCCATCACATATCACTCCAAATCCATGTCCCATATTCCAATTTCCCGATAAATTAACATTTTCTATTCGAGTACAATGTTTAAGCATCTCTCCTAGATTTTTTGTCTGTTCAATACTCAAATTACAGTCACTCACATTGATTCTTGTTAAACTATTACAACATAACTGCAATCCATTACAAATCAGTTTAAATCCAACTCCTGTATCACAGTTTCTGGAAAAATCCACATATTGTAATAGAGACAAATATAATAGTGTATTTCCAATGTATCTTGCCTTTTCATTATTTAAATTACAATCTATTATTTTAAGTATTTTTAAATTTTTACAGAGTTTCAGCCCATCAAAAATCATTTGAAATCTAGAAGCTAAAAGAGCATTTTCCAACAAATAAGTAATTTTAGTTCTTTCAATAGAATTATCTATTTTATTGTTGTGTTCATCACACATTTTTGGTATATCAATACAAAATGTCTTGCTTATCAGTTGACTGACTTATTTAATAATATTACTCCAGTAAAATTTACTTAGTTGTTTTAGAATTGTAGGAATTTCTGCCTTGTCACAATTGTATTTTCCAAGTTCTGATCCTAGTAGTAGTAGTCAACACTGCTTATCTCTCAGTGCTTATTAGCCAGTGCAATACAAATTCAATACTGCTTATCTATAGTAGATCAGAGCACATTTATAAGAGTACCTATTTGGTATTTGTGAAGCAGTCATAGAAAATAGACACTTGAAGCAATTTAAGGGATTGAATGTGTTGGATTTAAAATATTAATTTCTTTTTAATTTGGCAAAAGCAAGATGTTTTGAACAAAAATTAATACAAAGATAACCTATCTATCTATTGATTTTTTAAATTCTAAGAACACATTCAAACAAGAACATACAAAAAAAATTTCTATAAAAAAACAAAACTAAACTATTTTTACTTTCAGGGTTAGGTTAACCTGACCCTAACCTAACCCTAGCTCCTTTTCATGTTAAACATTATTAATTATTTTCCATTTACAGATTATTTCATGAATTTTGAATAGGTATAGACCAAAATAGCAATGGGGTCAACAGAAAATGTCCACAAATGAGAAATTTCAAGGCTAGGTTTTAGATTAAAAAATGCTAAGGAGAAGCACAGAAACTGATTTCTGCTTAAAGAGGTCTCATCTAAAGGTTAGGTAAAGCCAAGGGCTGTGTTAGGGTTAGGGTAAAGGTAGCCATTTGTGGACATTTTCTGTAGTATCTGTGTTTTCCACTTCATCAAGGTAGTTTTTCAAGTAAATTTTTTTTACCTCCTTGGAAGATACTTGTATAAATAATGATCTATGGTGTCTTTCCAGATGATCTGTGTATGGATTGGTGATTAGAACAAACAATGATGGTAAAGTGGAAGCCAACTGCTCATTTTACAAGCTAATAGATGCCCTTCAACATAAAGTTTAAATGGTTATGGTGAAAGTAAAGTATGTTACTTTGAAAAGAAATGCTATCAGCATCTGCAATGTAGAATATTTGTTTTAAGGAATAAATTTTATAATGGAGAGATAAATACAGACAAACTGATTTACTTCATGAATGTAAATTATTGAAAGATGTCAATATAAGCGGAAGTAAATGTTCAGGAGGTAAAACAATGTTTATGGAAATATAAAGGACTAAAACAATCTGCAAAAAATCTTTGTTCATTAAATTTATCTTTTTGCTCATTAACAGAAATGACCTGTAGTTTATTACCTGATTTCGTTGCTGAATGCATTTTACTGAAAGAAATCAATTTCAGGTTTAACACTCGATTTAGCGAAGATTTCAAGAAAATATGCAATGGATTACAATTGTCATCTATGTCTCTTTTATCAATTGATTTTTCATTTTGTTGCTTAAATAGTCAACAAATTTGCTATTTAAGCAATTTACTTTCAAACTGTACTCAACTGCAAAATATTCAATTGGCAAACAATGCTATGTCTGATGAAGTATTTCAAATATTATGCAATAGTTTAAAATCATCATCTGCTAGTCTATTAACAATTAATTTTTCCCATTGTAGCATTGATGACAGTCAAGCTTATCATTTATATGATTTACTCAAAGAATGTAGGTCACTGGAAACATTCCTCTTGTCAGGAAATAATAAATTAGCAGATGGATTTGAGATGATATGTAATGGATTGAAAGTATCATCTCAATCTCTTCAAAATATTAACTTTAATGGAATTTCTGTTCCAATAGTTGAAAATGAAAATGTCTACCTAAATTGTTTGGTTAGGGAATGTCTTTCATTAAGAGAGATCACTCTTCCAAAAAATGTTAAAAGTTATCTATTAATTGATCATTTCAAATCATCATCACCTCTAATCAACAATGAATTTTCTGACAATAGATCAAAATGCAATTTCAATCGTGATAATAATCTTTCAGCTATTGATTTTAAAAGGATTTGCAATAGATTCAAATTATCAATCAATAATCTTGTATCTATTAATTTCTCTTTCTGTTGTCGATTGAAGAATCTATTTAGTCATTTTGCTGATTTTGTCAAGGAGTGTACTTTTCTGCAAAAAATTAATATTAGTGGAATATTTAACTTTGGTGATAATTTTAAAAGAATATGCAGTAGTTTAAAATCATCTTCCAAAACTCTGCTATCAATTGATGTATCAAGCTGTGATTTAGATTCAGAACAATGCAATCATTTCAGTGATTTACTAGCTGAATGTACTCAATTGAAAGGAATAAATTTAAGTGGTAATATTAACTGTGGAGATGGTTTTCTTATAATATGCAATGCATTGAAATTATCATCTAAAACTCTTGAATATATTGATGTTCTCTATTGTGGGTTGAATGAAAAACAAGGAAACTCTTTAGCTGATTTACTCAAACAATGTAATTCACTTAGAGATTTTTCACTTATTTATAATTTGAAAATTTCTAAAGCATTTGAGAAAATGTGCCAAGGATTATTATCATCTTCTCATTCTCTTTTAAGTATCAATCTTCAAAATTACTGTTTAAATGGGGAACAGAATGAGAATTTAACTATTTTACTTGGAGAATGTAAATCATTACAAAAAGTAATTATAATTGGTGATAGATGTTTTACAACTCAATTTAAAGATATCTTTAAAGGATTGCAAATATCTAGAAAACATATTTCACAAATTCAACTTGGACCATTAGATATTGACAATGCAACTCATCTGGATTTTATTATTGAAACAATACCAGGTTTTCCATCATTGAAGGCCATTCGTCTAACTTTTAATGTTGATAATTTTGATTCCATTGATGTGAATTTATCAAGATGCTTAAATAACACACATGACTCAATTATTGAGGAATTACGTAATGTTATTGAAGAGAAATTGCCATGTTTCACAAAAGTACAAATTTATGAAGTAAATGATTTTTAGATTGGTTTCCTTAATAGAAAAAATGTGGTGTTAAAGTTACTCAGTCTCTGTATGTACATTTTTCAGAAATGTTTTCTGTGCATTGTGTGCTTATTGTGCTATGTGAAAGTAGGTCAACAGGTCATATCAACAAGAGCAAATGTAATAAATAAAATTTTGTTATCCAAAATGTAGGAAGATTCCAATCATTTATGTAATAGCGTTTAGGTTTTTTTCTTATATCTAATAAATTCTTGTCTCTTTGAATGACAAACTTCTGAAAACTGGTAGAAAAGCTATTCATGCATTATAGTTCAGCTAATTTCCCCATTAAACTAAACTATCATAGTATATATGTATAATATTCATTAAGAAATACTGATATAGAAAATTGAATATTTGACTAAAACAGATGGAGCCATTATATATGTGTAAAAGTAAAATATGACATTCAAGATATTTTGAAAAGTTTAGTTGAAATTAACAAGTTACTAAAACTGAATTTCAATGAAAAATCCTAGAATCTCAATCTTGATTTGCAGATAATGAAACTGTGTTGCAAATTTATCTCTAAGTAATTGTTTTTATGGATTGATTTAACTTGTAAATAATTCAAAATCTTTCCTTTGAAATGAGTAAGCAGGTAGCTAGTCATACCAATACAAAATCTCTAACAATTCTCAATAGATATATAAATACAAGTTTTTTAATGTTATATTGAAAATATTCTTTGGAAAAAGAAACCTTTTAGTATGTACTAATTATTTATAGATGTTTCTATTCTTAAAAATCTAAAGAATAATTGAAAATTGTATAAAAAAAATTAATTGGTGTTAATTGACACATAAATATTTTAGAAATTACTTCTTCATTGTACAATTCTTTTCCAAAAGTTTTTTTGCTTATTCATCACAAAAGTCAAAAAAATATGTCAATACTGTTATCAAAGCATTTTCAACTATAAATGGAAAACTAATTGCCAAGTGCAAGATCTTTCAGAGAGTGAGCAATCTGTTTATAAATTCTTACATGATTTTCAAGATGAAAGCTATTCCCTTTCTTGTTGTGATTTTCAATGCAACTGTTTGTTATACTTTACAAATTAGTACTGTATTTTTTTTCATATCAAATGTTAAACAAATAAATTTTTGTATCTATTTTAAAAAATAGACAGAAGAATTATTAATGTTGCATCTGTGGAGAATGGAGCAACTTGTCAAGCCAGTTCTGTGCATCCACCACTTTCTACAGTAGACTATACATGTCAGAATGCCTTAGAACCACAATGGATAAATGTTTGTGATTGGTCAGCACATTGTTCTGGTTTAGCATGTACTGAACATTGGATTAAAATAAATTTTAAAAAAGTTTACGAGTTAATTGGAATTAGTCTTAGTCAAAGAACTGTAGTGGATGAACATAAAATAAAATCAGTAGAAATTTCATTCAACAACTCTACTTATAAACCAGTTTACCAAGTTGATACAGTTGGAAATTGTCTCCTACTAGAAGAAATTGGATTACAAGCATCCAGTATAAGTTTGAGACCTGTTCCTCCTTATTCTCTACTATCAAACATTGGTTTTAATGAAATTTTTGCGTATGCCTATGAGCAGGGTAAAACTTTTTACAATAGTGATTGAAAAAAAAATTAAGTTATGTACCATTTAATATTTTTTTATATAGTCTCCAGTGCTAAAGATGACAATGAAGAAGAATTTATAAATATTGCTGATTCTGCATTAGGAGCTACTTGTGTAAGCAATACTTCAAAAGAAAATTATCCATGTGATAATGCTCTTAATAGACTTATGCCTATTGATTTCATACTAAAATGTGGAGCAAATCAATCACCTGTGACATCATGTGTAGGCAAATATATAGAAATAACATTTGCATTTCCAGCTGTACCACAAATTATTTGCTATAAGAACAAGTATATATAGAAATTTATTAATTATTTTTAAAATATTAACATATCCATTATATTCTTTTTTCTTAGAAGACAAATTCAAAGTTTAATAAAAGCTGTGAGTTTGTTATGGAGTTCAGGGTTTGCTGATGAATTGAATAATTTGGCTCAGGATAATATGTATCATTGCTTAACCTATAAGCATTTAAAAATTGAGTCATCATTGAAAGTTACCATAGCAGATGTTTATGGAAACAATGATGTTGGATTCAATCATTTTAAAGTTTGTACAAAAAGTATATATAGAAAGAGAGAGAGAGTTTTATTCTAAAATTCATTCTTTTTTAAAAAAGTGTTCTACACTTAATGTTTTTCTCTTTATTTTAGAAACTGAAGAGAATATACTCTGGATTCAAGGTACAAATTATACATTCTATAGTCTACAAGATATATACCATGGAAAGTACAATCTACAATCCATTAAGTTCAAGGTTAAAGGTAAACAAGAGGGAAACAATAGCTGTTCATAACTAACAATTGCCTTTAAGAGTGAAACAACTGAACAGATTACATTGAAGATTGATACAATAACTACAAATAGTCAGACTCAATCTTCAATAGAAACTAGTGAACCTTTTGTGGATATTGTTACATTTGGTTTGTCACAATCATTAATTCAATGCAATGAATGGAGTATATTTTGGTTGGATATAAATGACAATGAAATTAATTATGGTAAAGGAGAAACCTATGGCAAAGATATATTGGCAACTATTCAAACAACACTTCAAAAATGATTTAATAGAAACAAGTCATTATGTTCAAATCTTAAATAAAAGTAATTTTAAATTTTTAAAATTTTCAATTCCTTGTTTCATTTTCTTGCTTTTTTTTTATTTATTCAAAAGGAAAAAGGAAATTAAATTTCGACCTACTTTCTAAATGTAATAAAAATGATAAAGATTGGAGTACATGCTCAAAATTGTTAACAAATACTTTAACATTTGAATATAACTTTACAATGGGAAAGGAAATATTTAGTAATAATAGAAAAATAATGATAACTTTAAAGAAAATTACTGAATTCAATAGTAAGATATCTATCTATATTGTTTTCAAGATAATCAATAATGGAAAAGAAGACAGTAGAATGTGTCTCATTGAGAGACAATCTGAAAAAAATTCATATCTTTCTTATCTTTTAACATGTAAAGAGATTGACAAGATAGAAATGTGAAATGTTCTAGAAGTAGTAACCATTTGGACAATAAAAAACAAATTTCTTTTAAATGTCAATTTAATTATTTCTTCAACAAAATTTAATTCTGATAGTTAAATCTAAGAGACAGAAAAAATCCAGAAAAACACTGGAAATGCCCATGAAAATTATACTACTCATTAGTGAGTCAGATTTAAATACTTTTACCATTGGATAAATAACAACTTGAAATACATATTGAACTATTTCTCCAATTAAAATCATTTTCCACATATTCTCCTCAAAACATTACATCAACTATTCCAATTGAAATGAAATATATCGAAATATTCAAATCTGCACATACCAGACTCAAAAGAAGGAAATTTTTTTGTTTTTTTGAAAATATATCGTAAAATATTAATGAAGAAACATTTCCAATAAATGATGTCACATTGATCATCCATAAAATTACATGTATTAAATTTGATTGTAACAAGTCAGCACATGAATTAAACAATGATTTATTGGGCTGGCAATTTTTAATTTCATTTGAATGCATGGAAATCCATGCAAAACAACATAATTCAAAATATTCACTTGACAAGTTTACTAACATTCTCAAATGCTCAATAAAAAATTTACCATTTTTCATGTTAAAAGATTTTTCTAATAAAAAAGATTTTAATGATACCAAATGTAAAAAAGAGTTGTGTTCAATCTTTTTAATTTGACATTTGCTCAGGTCAAGATATTCAAATTTTCTACACTCTCTAAAAAGATTAAATGTTACTTTAGATAAATTAGTTTTAGATAAAATAAACTTTCTGAGATTTGGAAAAATTATAAATGAAAAATCTTCCAAATGATATCATTATCAAAGAGATTTATAATTTGAATTTTAGAAAGGGAACTTCTTGATAATCTATTTAAATGTATCAAGTTATTTTTTTGAATTTTCAAAAAAAATACATTGGGAAAAGTATTTGCAATTTCATTGATATTTATTCTACTTAAAGTTATTGTTAAATATGTCACAGAGACATATTGATGTTTAAAAAGCTTTTTAAAATTCAATTTGAACCTTGAAATATTTACATTCTTCCAAAAATATATTTCATTTTCTTTTAACCAATTGGAAACTGTGTACTTGAAGTTACAATTTAAAGAATAGAATGACTGACAAACACAATTTTTTGGACAGTCATTAGAACAATTGCAGTATAGTTCATCATTTCCTTGAACACAATCTACAATTCCATTGCATAATTCTGAAAGGTCAATATAATATTTCTCATTTCTACATTCAAAATATCCTTTTGGTTTAAAAAGTTCTGTTTTTTTATTCCACAATTAATAAGTATCAGAATTAGATCTTGCAATATGAAGATAAGTTATCAATTATCACAATGGCTTTCATCATCATATTCAGGACAATGGAGAATACCATCACAAACTTGTCTAATTGAAATACAATAAGTATTTGGCTTACAGAGATATTCCCCTCTGTTACATTTTTGTACGTGACAATCATATAATTGAAGGTATGGATAATGAACTTTTGTCAGTAGATTACCCATTGAATCATATTTTAGGTGACAATTATATTTAAGAGTTTCTAAACCATTAATCTCATTACATAATTCATCTGTGAATAGAGCAGGTATCTTTCTCATGCAATATTCTAAATCTTCATCAGATACATCATTACAATCCTTTTGAAAATCACATGCTTTTTCAATAGGAATACATTTGTTGTCACAAAAAAATAAATTTGTATTACTGCAATCTGTACAATAACTTAAATGCAGATAAAAAACTAAAAAAAAATTTTACATTTATCAGCAGTATTTGTGCAAATTTCATAGCAGTTTATTTCTCCATTGCAGTGTTGATTTTTTTATAAAAGGATCATAGATAAAATATTTTCTTATCTAATTAATATTTTTTAGATGGGCCCGAAATTGAAATAGAAAATCTCTCTTAATTTTTAAACAAAATATCTAAGCATACCTAAGCATATGTCCTGTATAGTTACTTCTGTACAGCATACTACAACACTTTTCTCAGTATATGAAATCATTTACTTGCTAAATCTATACATGAAATTATTGAAATTTGAACAGTTTGGCATTCTGCTGATTCAGTTTCATATAGTTTAGAGGTTATACGCTTTGTTTTAGAGATTCTTTGAAGGTCATATGTATTAAATGATTGTAATGTAATTGAATCTTTCTATATAAAACAAAGGGATAACTTTGAAGGTAAATTCACTTTTTGATCTAGTTGACAAAATGCCTGATATACGTCCATATAACTTAAAAATTGTATTATATAACTTGAATGGTCAAAAAGAAATTTGCTAATTATATACTTGTAATAATTATTCATAAATGATGTAAAATCATAGGGTTTATTACTTAAATGCACAGTCATTGTGCTATTTCTTCTGTCTTTTATCAATTTCATTCCTATTAATGAAAATATTTGTAAAAATAACCAAATATATAAAAAAATTGGGCCAAGAATTATATCCATACTTCCTGGTAACATAAACTTATATTTGAACATTGCAAATGCATTTCTAAAGCTACTTAACAAGGATTGTAATCTGATTTTTTCCAATAACCATAAGAACTCATAACTTTCCCAATACCGATTATAATCAACCAATAATGGTGTAATACCCAATGTTTTTGAATTTATTACTAATGTTTTACTAGAACTTATAATGTTCTTAAAGAATGTATTTTTCATATAATCTGGTGTTCTTTCTATTATAAAATCTATGCAATTAAACAGAAAAATACATGAAACTATCACTATTTTAAAGTATATTTCTATTTCTGTGAGTTTATTACCCTTCATCTCTGTAACACTGCATGTAAAATCTGTATAATTATTGAAAACAAATTGATCTATTTTATTTCTTCTTTTAATACCAGTAGTATAATTATTGAAAATAACAGCAAAATAATCTTTATTATCATCAATTTGCTTAGTATAATAGAATTGTAATTTGGGGCACCAGTTATATTTTAGTTCTTCTGTCCCTAGATATAATTTAAATGCTTTCTTTTTTTTCTCAAATAAACTAATTGTTGTTTTGCAGTGTCAACTCGATGTCTATATGATTGCACACCAGCAAACATAACTGTATTTTATACAAGAAATATTAATTTGAGGAAAGAGATAGATCATCAAAATTGAAAAATTTACATGGTTTAGTAGTTTTGTAACATTTTAAACAAATAAGATTTTTTCTATTTTCTAAATATTTAACTTTATATCTGTAGAATTTGTTTGATTTAAAATCTAGAGTATAATTATAAAAGATTTTTTACATACATTTTCAGATTGTTCTTTTTCTGAAGTAGATAAGCAGTGGAATTAAGTCCTGTAAAGAAAGAAAAATTTTTTTTATTTCCATTATCTATCATCTTTATTCTTTCATTTTATCAGTAACCAACTTACCTTGATGCCTACAAATTCTTGTCACACTATGTATACCATCATAATCCATCCATTGACAAATATTGTGCAGTGGGTTTCACCATCTTTTTGTAAATCATTTGGAAATTTTTCAATTATTGGTTTGGAATCTTGAATTTTAAAAATATACACTAAGTTAGTCATATTTCATTTTCAAATACAAAAAATGTATATAGCATTAAAGGTGCCATAAGTAGTCGTATTGTCAATTTTATTCCCACTCTCAACAATTGCTTCAACGGTTCCACTATCATTCTGTTGTTATTGTATTAAATTAGATTTTCTTTTAAAATAATTTCTATTTTGTATGGAAAGAAACCTTACTTTATCTACATCAATAATTTCAAAAGTGTAAGATGAACTCTCTTCAGCTGGAGTAACTTTCCATCTACCCTTAAGGCTTGGATGAAAATTAGGAGTTTTGTAAATAATAGTGTTGTCATCTCTCTTAAGTGTAATACCCTTCTTTTCTAAAAAGTAAATTGATTATAAAAATACTGCAAAACATTTCTAAACATATATATCTACCAGTTAAACTATAAGAAAAGGTTGATGACTTCCCAGTTTAGCAACTTTACTTTCAGGGAATGAAAGAAATTTAGCTGAAAAAAAATAAGGCAAATTCAATGCTAAAATATACATTTTAAATATGCATCTCTCAGAAAAAAATATACTATTTACTAACCTGAAAAGGATAAAGACATACATATTATTACAATTAACAACATTCATTCTCTTTTCAAAGTCTCTGAATATTCAAGCTAGTACTGAGTATATGTTAACATCTCTCCTTGTATATGTCATAGAGTGGAGATTTTATCTGATAACAAATTTTACTAAAAGCGGCCCAGAAAGGACAAAGTCTTTCCAGGTATACATTCAATGTTAAAATCAGAAGAAAAGCTACTACAACATGAATATATTCATTTTATTCACAAACTAGAATAATTCACCATGTATGTAAATTTGTTCATGCTGCTGCAAATGCATTACAATGTTGTAGTTGTCATAGAGGCGTGTTTAAAGAACATGGTGAAAACACAATTTGTCAATGTAACGTATAGTTTAAAAATTAGAAAAAATATTCATAAATTTGTAAAAATACTT